TTTTCTGCAAACAAACAAACAAAAAAGATTCTTGTTTTAGTGGCATTGATTCCTGTAGGAAAAACACCCAAGGCAAGCCAAGCCTGAAGTTGTATGTACCCATTGGATATGTACTCCTATCCAAAAGTGCTACATGGGCCATCATTAACAAGATAGTACTTGAAGATATGTATGTGCCAACAATATTTCAAGCTAATGCGCCAATCCCTGGATCACGAGATGCCAATCAGCTAACTTGTTTATAGAAACTTGGCAATTACTAGTTTGTTGGTAATTGTAAATGACTGGAACATTTCATCAAGACTTGAAATGTAAAGCTGAATAATTTCAGTTAGAAATAAATAATGGGTAGACATCTGTGCCTATTGAGTCACATGGAGGAAGCAAATCCATCCTTTGCAATCCTCACAGTTCCAGCCACATTCTAAAAACTTATTTTAGACCAGAAATAGGATGATCAGTTCTGTATGGCTTTTCCGACTTCAGTATACTGCGAAGCCCTGCCAATGTAATTTAAATGTAAAAACAAACATCTTTACAAAGCTCAAGGCCATTTAACACTAATGCCATAACTAATCTCAGTGAAGGTATCCTAAATATGAACTTTTGCCCAAATAATACGTAGAAATATAGTGCATCCAAAACTTGAGAATGCTTCAAATATACTGAAGGATTTTTTTTAAGCTCCAGAAATGCAAGATTAAGGTGTTTGTTAAAAAAAAAAAAGTCTGAATTCTCTGTGCTGAAGATATAATCAACAGCTTATATACTGTATCATATATCAGCAGCTAAGTTTGAAAAAAACAAGTTTAGTTTTACTTCACCTCTACATTCATTTGAATTATAGGATAACATACTTCTGATTATACTTCATTGTGGACAGTGAATAGTAAGTAATTGTACTATACAACTTGTACTATACAACTTTACTTGGAAAACCAAGTAAAATGCAAGAGATCTGGAAAGAGGGAGAGTCTTTCTTTCATGAAAGCAACAGCATTTAGAGAAGAGAATTTAAATATTTTGCCACTTGGTAATTTTCCAGTCTAAATTTTCCTCACACAGTTGCTAATCCTACACCAATCTTCTCCAATGGAATATTTTTCAGAGATGTATGATTACTACTTTCGTTATTACCAATGTGCATAGTGGCTTAGGCCTTAGGGTAATGGAGGTTTCTATCAGCAAGATAAGTTGGGGAAGGTTGTCCTATACCCATAAACAAATGTTACAGATTTTTATACCAAACAATCCTTTCTCATTTACCATAGGAACAAGATTCTCCAATACATACTGGATACCAAATTATATCTGAATTTGTGCCAATTCTTCCTGAAGAACACTGAGTTCTGTTCTGCACCTCATCTGTCTATGTTTGAACAGCAACATTCAGACCTTGATAATTTCGTCACAAACAGCTGGTAGTGAGCAAAGTAGTGAGCAAAGCTAACTTGGCTCCAAGCTTTCTTAAACAATTGCTCTATATTTATTTGTTTACCAAGAGGTCTCTGTAGAACTGTTGCAGAATGTCTATATGTTGAATTTTCAACTTCAGAGAAGGGATACCATAGTCTGTTTGACTTAAAGTATTGCTTGCTCCAAACCTGAGCATAAGCCTGGAATAGCAACAGTGGGATTTTCTGGCTGCTGCCCTCCCATTGTGGGAATTAATCTGGTTTAGAAAACTCCTCTCCAGATTTCCACCCCTTGCTCTGTTTTGGTCACATTAATAGCCTGTCTTGACCATACTTATCAAAGTCCCAAACTGATGGATTCTCCTGCTTCTTTACTCCTCCCATACATGATGAGAAAGTAAGCACCAATTATTACTCTTCCCATGGACAGACACTGGAGAATTGGAGTGGGACAACTTGCCACAGCCAACTCGCTGTGGCCAACTCACCATGAGATAATTTAACAATTCAATTTAATTATTTAAAATAAATAACAAATTATTTTAATTTTTGTCATTCACATTTCACTCTATCCCTCCTTTTGCATCCTTTCTTTAATGAATCTATTTCTTGATATTAGTGTAACTCTTGTCCCACAGCAAGTTGGCCATGGCAAATTGACTGTATCGAGTTGGCCATGGCAAATTGAAATTTTACAATAAAAGTAGTATTGGCCTGCATGACTTTGGTTCCTAATCTGGTCTACCTAGAAGGGCTGGCAACACTTCTCCAGATGTATAGCAGGAAAAGACAGGTGGGGCTTGCTTTCCTGTTGTTCTGCGACTAAGCAAAAGACAAATGTGGTAAATCCTGCCCTTCAGAAATAGTTAATGTCCTATCATGGAAGATCAGTCTGGTTCAGTGGTGGGTTGCCCCCGGTTCGCACCGGTTCTATAGAACCGGAGTAAAACCGGCAGGAGGCTCCACCCACCGACCCCGATGTCATCACAACGCTTCTGGGCATGCACTTTGCTTCGCTCACGCATGCACGCGGCCAAGTTGCGAACTGGTAGTAAAGATAATAGAACCCACCCCTGGTCTGGTTGTGCAGTTCAGCCTGGTGACAATGCATACTTGCAGGGACTTATCTTTAGTTATTTTCTGTATTCTCAGACATTGAAACAGTATATGAAATAGTTTACAGATTAATCATCTACATTACGGGTGTCAAACTCGCGATGGCACATTGTCGTCACGTGATGTATTGCGACTATTCCCGCTCTTCGCTAAACTAGGGGTGGGCTTGGCCAGTGCATCAGTGATGGGTTTCTACCAGTTCACCCCGATTCAAGCGAACCAGTAGTGGCAGCGGCGGGAGGCTCTGCCCACCTGCCCGGACACAATCATGGATGCTCTGCATTCCGAAGGTAAGTGGAACCCACTACTGGAGTGCTTTTACATCCAGCCGGTGGGCCGCGAGTTTGACACTCCTACATCATAGACCTACCAAATGCAAAATGAAGCAACAAGCAGCCATATCTATCTTTTAAATTAGGAAAAGATGGCTGATTTCCCACTGCTATTAATGGCAGGAAGCTAAGCAAATAACTCTCCACTAGTCAGCTGATTATTTGATTAAGCAGAGACCAAGTCACTAGTTTCCCACTGACAATCACAATAGAAAAATGTTAGAGTTTACCCATAGGAAAAGAAAGCCTCACTGCTACTCCTTCTCCCTCCCTGCCTCTCCCACGATTCAGCTCATGATGCCGAGGAGAGACAAGGAGTAAGAAGGGTGAGATTTGTGTCATTTTATTAGCTATAGTTCCCCACTTGTCTAACCTTACCCAACTGGGAAATCCCGATGAGGGCTTTTAATGCAGAGCTTAACTTGAAAAGAATTCACATGACACTAAGAAGAAATAATACAGTAAGACAGCAGAAATACTAGATATTTTTGGAAGTATTTGTGGAAATTTATCTTTATAGAGAACGGGCATTTTCAGAAGAATCTTTGCCAGGTTGAAAGCTGAAGCTATTTATTTATGATTCAGCCGTGGTATATAGCAAGAACTGGTCTGAAGCTAGGCTTGTTTGGGATTTCTCTGGCTTCATTTCCATGTTGGAAGACACCTTTCTCTATCTCTCCACTGGTTGAGAATATATATTATAATCAAAGGTCAAGGGGGAAAACAAACAGTCCAGCCTACATCTTCCCTAGCAGCCAACACCCAGATAAGAAGGTAAACTTTACTCTCTCATGCCTTGATGCTACCTAGGCTGGTAAAGAAACATTTGCAGTAAAACAACCAAGCTCAGAAAATTCCAGCAAATCTTGTCTTCCTCCCATCTTTTTAAGCTCAGGTAGCATTGAGACACACCAAACTGAATGTTCTGCAGTTTCCCCTTAGTAGTCCAAAGACAAAAGTGCTGCTGGATTTGCCAATTCTCCTCAGTAGAAGATAAATTTCCAAGTTGCTGGATGATTTTATTCCTATGGGGTAAAGATATTTTCTTTTGCTATAGATCCTGTAGCCAGCTGAGGGCTTAACAATGGTTTGGTTCTTTGTAATTAGCACTTCAAATTGGATTAAAAAGCTTCGGGGCAGTGGTGTGGAAAATGGCTTCTATAGGATTTCCTTTAATGTATAAAAGCAAGCAAGATAATCGAAATTCTTGCAGTCAAAGAATTATCTGTTTTCTAAGGTGCATTGTTGCATTCTAAAAATAATGATATTCCTAAAGGTAGTCCTTGACTTTATTTAGGGACTGTTTGAAGTTACACCGACACTGAAAAAAAGTGACTTATGCCAGTTTTCACATTTACAACCGTTGCAGCATTCCCCTAGTTACCTGATCAAAATTTAGATCCTTGGCAACTGGCTCATTTTTATGATGACTGCAGTGTCCCGATGTTATGCGATCACCTTTTGCCACCTTCTGCCAAGCAAAGTCAACAATCGTGTTATGAACTTAACATCTGCAGTGATAACAACTGTGGCAAGAAAGGGTCAAAACTCACTTAACAACTGTCTCGCTTAGCAACAGAAATTTTGGGCTTAAGTGTGGTCATAAGTTTAGGATTTATGTAATAGATGTTTACTTCATAGTTGATCTTTCACAGGGAAAATACCAATTATTGGATTGCAGATTTCAGCATCTAGAGCTAAGGCGTATCACAATTTTTTTACCTTTGCAGAGCCGGGTGGGCATGGCCTGCGCATGATGCATCCAGCCCACGTGCTTCCAGTTTGACAGGCCTGAGCTAAGGTATTTTACTGCCTTCAGGCTGAGTGGATAAGTAATGTTTTATCTTCAAATAAATGGGAATGAATTTTATCTGAACATAAAACCACCCCCAAGAGATCAATAACAACAAAGAGATCTGACCTCTGCCTTAGGTTTATCTAACCCAAAAATTGGAATATAAAAAGAACATAAAAGAGAAGGAAGTAGAACTTCCTTAACAACACAGTTTTTATAACGACCATCTAAAATGGATCTAGTCCAAAGCAATGGTGCCATTAGTTATTTAAACCTGAATGTAACTAAGTAGGAAATGATGCTCTTTAGATAGTACTTCAACCAGGGGTGGGTTCCACTTACCTTTGCTACTGGTTCACAACAGGAACACGTGCACACAGCGCTTCTGCGCGTGCGCAGTGCCTCCATGATGACGTCCAGGCGGGTGGGCGCTGCCATTACTATCAGTTCGCAAGATCCGGACCGAACCGGTAGCAACCCACCCCTGACTTCATCTCAAAAAGTTGCAAACCAGTGCTGCTGAATTCGAAAATCTCTTGTTTATTCTGCTGAATGCTTGACTCCAGTCCTAATGGCATCGGGAGCCAGAAAAGCCCAGCGCCGGTGGTCTTGGAGCTTTGTCCCTGTTTTCCTTTTCTCCTTCTGCTGTAGCTGATGAAGGGAGGTACCTAACAGAGATGTTTTTTGTATAGAACCAACAGCAGCTTTGCCTTCTTATGCAACAAACTTATATATTTGTTGACACTGATATTTCCCCTTCTCCGTCTCAGGTTCATTACATAGCAGTTATCACAATTGCTTTGTAAGAATCTGTTTAATTCAGTGTTGCAATAGTTTTCACGTTACATCATATTAATGAGAGATGTCTTTATCCAAATAAACATACTTTATAAAAAAAAATATATCCAGCGAAGGAGGAAGATTACGCTTTCACTAAAAGACTGAAACTACTAAGCTTACTTCCTGTGTAATAATGAAGATACATTACAATTCAATTTTATTCGTTTCAATAGTGTTTACTCTCATATCTGAATTCAGTATTAAAGACATTTTGAATTACTTAGAAATGTGTTGCATGTTTGGCCAGATTCAATGTCTCAGATTTCAAGGGCTGGGTTTCCATTTCCCGTATTTGTATTTAATTCTCCTTTCCCATCATAGCCTCTTCCAAGAAACATAGCCTTCCAGAGCCTTTAAAGAGTTATCTTCCTGCCTTTTTAAAGTAAAAAAATAACCCTTATTATTGCCGCAGTTGAGTCCTTGTTTTCAAACAAAACCTGGCTGGGAAATACATTTTTATGTCTGACTCACATTTCAAGAGCTAGAGGGAAAACAAGAAGACATACAATCTATTTACGGTCTCTGACTTAGCAATGAAAAAAATATCTGGAGTGTTAAGGGAACCAGTGTTGCTAAATACTTTTTGTGGGAACAAAGGGATAAAACACATTTGTCAGTTAAATAATCAGCAATACAATCACCTCTTCAAGTCAGAGGAATCATTATGAGACAACATAATTTTCTTATTATACTCAACAAAATCATGTTGACTATGCATTATCTACAATGTGGTTTTTTTGTTTACTTGTGATATAAATCCAATCATTGTGATTTTAAACCATAATTTATTACAATGTGTTGTATGGACCTAGATAATCGTGAATTATTCAATAAATCTAGTTTAGTGCAGGGGTCTCAAACCCTGGTTTACGCACTTGTACCAGTGTGCAGTCTGTTGGGAACTGTGCCACATATGTGGCAGGTAAGCGCGCGAAGCTTCATTTGTACAAGCTGCGGGCATACGTGTGAAACCACTACTCCACTACCATTGCAGCCACCACTGCAGGTCCACAGAGCCGTAAAGGTTGGGGACTGCTGGTTCATTAAACCTTATTATTTTCCTAATCTGTAAACGGCCAGTACCATGATGATCTCACTGAAAAGGCAAGTAGATACATGGGCCTGGAAAAGATGTAAGGATTCAAATAAAGTTTTAGCTAGATTAACTTTAAGTATGGTTAGAAATCTGCAGTTTTCATCAAGCTATTTTAAACTTCATACAATTCTAACCCATCTGGAATGCAAGGCAACGTAAATGGGATTCTGATGCAATCTCCCATCAACCACAGGCCAAAGTCAGGCAGACATGCTTCAACAAAATGGCTTCTTCACATGAACAAGAGACTAAGAGCTCTTCTGTGGCTTTATGTGGCTTAATAAACTGCATTCTGGATTTCAGCCTTTTATACTTTAGTCATAATAATAGCTAAGCCACTTAGCCTAAGCGTAATGTCTAAACAGCAATGATCATGGCCCTCAACCAGTGGCTCCCCTTAATATTTTATCCTTCCCACGGATGTCAGGAAAGGAAGCATCAGTTCCTTTCCTTTCTGTGGACAAATCTTTTGAGTAGCGGTGAAAAAAGGCACAGAGTTTCAAGCCTCTTCCTCTAATTTCAGCTAGAAGGAGAAACTTGCAGAACTCTTGTCTAATTCCCCTGGGGGAAATAAGAAGAAAAGACACACCTTTCATTGCTTCACTGCCTGAACCTGTTAACAATACATATAAAAAAGAAAACTCCAGCCTTTTACTAGTTCATCATTTGACCAAAAAAATAAAGAAGGGGAAAATCAGTTTTGAATATATCTAAGATTGATTACTTCAGATTATTCCGTTTTTGCATTTTGCCTCCCCCAAACTATTCTAAATGGCAAATATTTAATTAGAATGTTGAGCCCTAGCAAAGCTAATGACAGCTTTCTGGCAAGTATGTCCTGTTACTGAGAACTCCACTACTATTTTGAAAGTGCAGTATAACTATTATCAACTGCATAATAATTGTGCCAGATTCACCAGCTGTATTTTACCCATACTGGCAGTGGTTTCATTTCAGTCTCTTCTTAATAAGAGCAGCGAGAGGTTTTTTAGATAAAATTAGGGCTGCACCAGGGCTTTATGTAGTCAAGGTCACTGAAAAACATTGAGAATGGCTTATGTTTTCAGGACTATAGTGAAGAGATTCATGAGAAAATTTTAAATTGAAATTTTATTTAGTAAATTGAAACAGATTTATAGATTTTTAAAAAATTTAAATGCAACTACCATGTTTCCCTGAAAATAAGACAGGGTCTTATTTTCTTTTGACCCTCGAAATATGGCCTTGGCCTTATTATCGGGGGGGGGTGTCTTATTATTTTTCAGGTCCAGGAGGCCCCTGAACATCGGCCCACTGCAGGGGGACTGGTGCCGGAGCGCCGACCAGCTGCTTTGCCGATGCTGCTCAGGCCGCTGCCTCCAGCAATCGTGGCAGCTTTTAATTTGCTTCCCATGCAAACAACATGAGGTGAGGCAAGGCAGGTGGGGGGGGGACGAATGGTGGGGGAACATGCCCCACGCGCACCTGCCATCCACCTGGAACGGCCTCGTGGAGGCCGCTCCCGCAAACCGTAGCTTGCGATTTCCTTCCCCCCACCAGCAGTGTGTAACTTGAGAACCAGGACCTTGGATTCTCTCTTTTAAACTCTTCCCAGCCATCCTTTTGTTCTCTGCTTCAGCTCCAGTAGGGACAAAAGGGGAGCAGGAGAAAAAGCACTGGCTTGGATTGCAAAAGCCACAGACTGGCTCAGTCGCCTTCCTCTTGAAGAGCCTGCAGGACAAACAAGAGATCTGGGGTTTGGGTGAGCTGCAGAATTCTCACTTCTCCGCCTCCCCACCCTTCCCCACCTCCCATTTTCCTTCACAGGCTGAGATTGCCAAGCCTGATTCGGGGAGCTGAACATGCTGCTGCCGCCCAGGAGGAGAACATCAGAAATGGGCTCTCTCGCAGCGCCTCCTCTCTCTCTTCTCCCCAGTGGCAGCGGTGCGTCCAGCTCACTGAATCTGGCCTGTGGATCTTGGGCGGCAGTGGCAGCGGCTCTGACCTGACCCTCACTGACAATGCTGCGGGCAAGAACTGGCCACGCCGATCCCGCTTCATGGCTGCACAGACAGCCCACACTGGCCACTGCTCGGAGCTCCGGTGTCAGTACCCCTCCCCCCAGGTCAACAGGGTTAGGGCTGGCAAGAGTTTGTTTGCGGCCGCTTTTTGCGGCTGCCACTAAGAGAAGGGGCGCGCAAGCTATGGTTTGCGGGAGCGGCCTCCGCGAGGCCGTTCTGGGTGGATGGCAGGTGCGCGTGGGCATGTTCCCCCACCGTTCCCGCACCTTGCCTCCTCACCTCATGCTGTTTGCACAGCAGCTGCGCATGCGTATAAGTTTTTGGGGGGCTTATTTTCAGAGGGGGCTTATTATAGCATGTGAGTTCGAAAGCCCAATTGGGCTTATTATTGGGAGATGTCTTATTTTTGGGGAAAAACGGTATCATAAAAGTTTCTCAGTTCTGTTGGTACATCACAACAGTCTACATCCAATTGAAAAATAACTGAAAATCAGAAGGAAAACTGGGAGAGTTATATTAATCATGTTTTTTGCTGATTTCTGTCCCTTGGTCCCAACAGATATGGGTTAGCTCACCAAACCCAATTTTATTCATATATTAGGATGTTCCCCTGCCGCTATTTCACTTGTTGAACAGTACTGCAAATTTATTAACTTTTGTTCCTGTGAGTCAAGGTGATTAAGGTACCAGGTTAGAAATGGGAAGAGCATGAGTTTTAGTCCCATTAGGTACAAAGCCAACTGGTGACCGTGGGTCAGTCATTCTGTTTCAACCCTAGGAAGCAGGCAATGCAAAGCCTTGCCAAGAAAACTGCAGAGACTTGACTTCAGAGTCAAGACTGATTCAAAGGCAGTTGCACAAACCCATTCAGAATTAAGAGATAGAAAGAAGGAGGCTTAAACTCACAACAACTTTGTAACCATTTTTAAAGGACATGTGGTCTCCTATTGATCTCATTCTCAAATCATGACTGAGGCTGTCTAATTTTGTATTTATTTGATCCAGCATCTTGTCCTACCATAAGCCTTGCTATATGCACAATTTGTGCGGCTTTGGGAACAACTATGGTGATGGTGTGGCAGAGGCTTGGATATGCCCCAAATATTGCTTAGAATATTGAGCAGAGCTCAAGCAGCTACCTCTGTTCTGGTTCAGCCTCTCTTGCACTGGGTAGCACAATCGACAGGTGATCCTCGACTTACAACTGTTTGTTTAATGATTGTACAAAGTTACAATGGCATTGAAAAAAGTGATTTAGAAGATTCCTCAAATTTATTACCAATCAGTGGTGGGTTTCAAATTTTTTTACTACCAGTTCTGTGGGTGTAGCTTGGTGGGCATGGCATGGCTTGGTGGGCGTGGCTTTGTGGTGGGTGTGGCAAGGGAAGGATACTGTAAAATCTCCATTCCCTCCCAATCAGCTGGGACTTGGGGGGCAGAGAATAGATGGGGGTGGGGCCAGTCAGAATTTTTACTACCAGTTCTCCGAACGACTCAAAATTTCCACTACCGGTTCTCCAGAACTGGTCAGAACCTGCTGAAACCCACCTCTGCTACCAATGCAGTAGCCCCAGTCATGTGATCAAAATTTGGGCACAGGGGATGTATTTATGGTAGTTGTAGTGTCCTGGGGTTATGTGATTGCCATTTGTAACCCTCAGAAATCCTCAGCTGATTTCTGACAAGCAAAGTCAACGGGGAAGTCCAATATGTTTAACAGTTGTGTGATTTGCTTAACAACTGCAGCAATTTGCTTAACAACCATGGCAGAAAAAGATCATAAAATTGGGCATGATTCATTCAACAACTAACTTGCACAGCAATGGAAATTCTAGTC